CGGCACCTTACGGAACCGTCATGATTGTTTTGCTCCTTGTTTTCCCAGTTCGGGTCTCCTCGCAGCGGTCTCGGCGGAGCCCTAGTCGCCGGTGTCGTGCGGCATCGTGCGCCACCGGTGCCTCCGGCGCAGCAGGCGCAGCAGCAGGAGGGGGGGGAAGAAGAGAGGCGGGAACGAGGAGACGAGGGTACCGCCACTGAAGGTGGCGGTAGCGGTGGTGCCCCGCCGGCTTTGGACGCGGTCGCGGGCGTGGCTCTGGACCGTCTAGCCCAGTCTCTCGAGAGGGTAAGCTGTGCACTCGTTCGAGACGTTTTGCTGGGGCGGTGGGTTTTCTCGTTAGATGGTCAGAAAACACGTCAGCGCATAAGAGCTCTTTCCAAGTACGTTTTTTCTGTCGTTAGAGAAGCAACAATTTTTGATATTTGCATTTTTTTCGTTTAGCGAGGGCGAGAATGGGAACGAGAAGGCCGGTTTTAACCCCCGGTGGTTTTCGCCATTTGCGGTGTAGTTGGCAGCAGTGGGTGTTTGTGCCCCGTGTTTCCTTGTTGTACTGAAGTGCATTTTGTTTTGTTCTTGTTGTCTTGTTTTTTCATGTGTCGCACCTTGTACCTTTATTAAATTTCAGTCTTTTGTTGTTGCTGTCTTTGCACCCGTGCTGGTCCAACTGACGCGAATGGTGCTAATGGTCACAGGCTAGGCTAACTCCCCCGCAAAACGGTGCATACAATGTACTAAGTACGAAGTATGAAATTCACTAGGCAAGGAAGGGCCCAAACAAATGAACGAAAACGGAGGCGATACACGTGTGTTGTACGGCAGTGGGGCTCCGCGAATACGGCGGTCTGAATAAGCCGGTTGCCCTACACACGGCGGGTGAAACTGGCTGGCACAGGCGGAATGTTCAAGTTGTTTTACACGTTGAATATGCCAGCCGCCCCATACAGGGCGGTAATTATCAGCTGCACCACCCCACTGTACACCGATTCAAAGCTACATACTTTCATCTAGGCAAGCCAATGACGGATGTATGTAAGGATGTAAGGTACGGGCCGGTTGAGCCCCTTTTCAAGTGCCAGGGGAAAATAACTGAGCGCATGTGCGGGCTTGCGTTCCCAGAACCACTGGAAGTCTTCTTTGTACGCCTTGTTTTGCGGGTTTCCGCAAACAACCGCTCGGTCTTTTTGCGTTCGCCGCTTAAGAAAACCGCCCTTGCCCCCCGGGCCGCGTGTGATATTCAAACAATACCCGTGTGTGATATGCACACAATATCCGTGCGTGATATTCGCACATCCGTGCAGGCTAGCTCCCCCCCGTGGGCATGGGAGCATCAGAAGCAGCGGAACATCGAGAAGGTCTCACGCCTGCGGCTGCTGCACCAGATGTGGTCAGCGGCGGGTTACACCGCCGCTGCCGCGGAGGCTGCTTCGCGCGCGGAGGGGGCTGGAGGAGGGGGGGGTGGGGTAGACGCGGGGGGCTCGTCTCACGCCGGGGAGGTGTGCGTGTTTTGTGTCTTCGTTTTTTGCCGTTCGTCTTGTTGTTGGCGTTGTTGTGCCACTGGTGTTTGTGTTGGTGTTATTTGCTGCTGCTGTAGTCGTTGTTGTCGCTGCTAATACTACGCTACTGCTGCGGTTGCTGTTGTTGTTGTCATTGCTCCTGCTCCTCCTGCTGCTGCTGGTGGTGGTGGAGTTGTTGCTGTCATTCCTGTTGCCTCTCGGTTACCCCGTGTGTTGTCTTTCGGCTTGTGTGTAGGTAGGTCCCGTTTCGCATCAAGCTTGCCGTGGGTGTGGTCGTCTGGTGGTCTTGGCGCGTGTTGTCGACCTGACCCTCAACACCACAACCCTTAACTTTTCCCATTAGCCTCGCCATGCCTCTGAACCGAACTTGGGGTACCACACGACCTCCTCTTCCTACAGGCGTTCCGGGGTAACGAGAGCCTCCACCTCCGAAGGCTGCTCAGAGTCGTAGAACACGGTGCGTCCCTCCTCGATCACAACAACAATGTCGACGCTGCCGCCGTAGCAGCATCCACATCGGCGTTAGCCAGCGAGGGCGAGGCACCTGCAGCGGCGGCGGCAGGGCCCGTAGCCGGCGGTAACGCCGGCGCCGTGAGTGAAGCTCAGCAGCAGCTGCAGGGGGCAGCAGCGGTATTGCCGGGCGATGGGGACGGCCGCGATGTGTCCTCTTCCTCCTCTCCGACAACAACAGGAGGAGGCGGAGGAGTCGTTATGGCGGCGGCGGCGCCGGTGGGCGGAGTCGTGGCAGCGATCAAGCTGGGGAGAATATTGGGCGGGGCGGCCGTGGTACCGCCACCGGAAGGCATACGGACTTTGAGCGGCGGCGGCGGCGGCGGCGGCGGCGGCGGGAGCAGGGGGCAGAAGGTGGCAGATTTGAACGGGGCTTTTGTTGTATGCTGTTAGCCGTGATGGTCTTGACCATCTTGAAACATGTGGCTAGCCATAGCCGCACCAGTTGTACCGGGGGGGTGTTTGAAGGGCGGTGGGGGGGGGTGCACGAGCTGCACAAGAACAGAAGAAGCACCAGCGAAGGACGTTCCGAGACGCGATCTATCTCACATCATGTATTTAGTAGCGTATCGGCCGTCTCTTACCACTGCTGTTGTGCGTCCTTTGGTGGGGCGATCGATGGTGGCGGTCTACCAAGAAATGATAAGACGACCATAGAGGTGGTACGTGCGTGCTTCGGTGCCGTTTATCCGCTTCGTTCATGTCGTGTTGTCGTTTGTTGTTTCCGACAGAAGTCCTCCTTCATCTTGTCCCCGGAGGAAGCCACGTGGATGCGACGGGCTCTGGAACTGCCAATGCAGGTGTGACCGTGAATGCTGTAGTACTAGAGGAAGAGCGAAGGCGGGGAAGGCCAGAATTACTTTAGGAGAGGGTGGTCCAAATCATGGCGATTGCCGTACGTATCGTTTGCACACAGTGATGGTCCCGATATATGTGGCATGCAGGGGCAAGAGCAAAAAATGCCACTATTCAGGGCAGAACCACAATTCGATGTATCGGGTTCATGTACGTTTTGGGAATGTGACAAGGGGTTTTGATGTCACTACATCGGGCATTTCACTATTGAGGATGCCGAGGATGCCGAGGATGCCACTTATACCGGAACCACTGCTGCTGTAAATGCCTGAATGCAGCAAACAGACCCTAAAAGCCCCGCGTCACCACCGCGACTCAACAACAGGCTATGGGAAACACGCAACCCGATCTCAAGGAGGCTGATAAGGGGCGCCTAGAGTCTTTCAGACTCAGGCAGGCCTACGCGCTGAAAAGGCCCCGCCAGGCCGCCCGTGAATGCTTTGAGGAGGCGGCGGCAGGGGGGGCAACGTCCAAAACGAGCAGTTGGAGCGAGGTAAGCACCGGAAGGGGGGATATGTGGGTTGGTGTTGGCGGTTGTTGGTGTTGACTGCTGTTGTTGTTAGTTGGTCGTGTGTTCCCCCGTGCTCATCGCGGTCGTCGTCATCGTCTAACGGCTGTCACCGATTCCATTACTTGTAGGTGTCACGCCTCCTTCGTTCCCCCTGTTTCGACTATTGCGATCATGTCCAAACGTCAAGAAAAGACGTCGGAGCTGTTGACACCAGTCTCGCCTCCGTTTTGTCACCATTCACCCTGCAACGTTCGCCAACCGGCTCAATGGTGTGGAACTCCCATGTGTTTTTTTTGTGTGTCTGTGTTTTGTTCTTGCTGTTTCTTGTTGACAGCGGCTGTCCCCGGAGTCGGCCTCTGCGCTGGAGAGCGTTTGGGAGTCGGACGCGGTGTGGCCTTTGATGCAGGTGTGCGTGCTTGGATGGAGATGACTGCCATGTTGTTGTCCTGCTACTTGCTACTACTGCTGCTGCTGCTGCTGCTGCTGCTGCTGCTGCTGTGGTCGACGCGTCGCGTTGCATGTTGGTACACACGTGGTTGCCCGTAGTTTTGGATCGAGAAGCCCTCTGCGTGTGGTCAAGCCGGACACTTTCCACCAAGCGGCACGAACCCCGTCCCCCCAACCGGTTCGTTCTCCAAGCAGGGCACTCGTTTTCGTGGTAGGGCCACCGTGCTCTTGAGGTACATGATATCGGCATTCATGGTTTTCGGTACTCCATCATCGTCCAAGTAGTCATGCCGTGACGCCCCCTTTTTCTTATTTTTCTTAATTTTCTTGATTTTCTTGATTTTCTTGATTGTCAACGTTGGTGGTGGTGATCCGCTGGCGATGGAGCAGAGAAAAAAAGTGATTGGGGTAGTGTCATGGGAAACACAACAATGACAACCACAACAGATGCGGTCATTATGAAACCAACAACAGCAACAGTAACAGCAGCAGCAGCAGTAGCAGCAGCAGCAACAGCATCAACGACAGCACTAACCACCACCGCCGCCACCGCACAACCACACAAACTGCAACCACAGATCCCTATTCTGTCGTGGGACCTCACGACCCTCGTCGTGGGCGGTGTAAGCATGGCCCGATCCTGGTCCAACAGGGCCGGGGTGGCGAGGGCCGTCTGCCTAGCGAGGCTCTGCCAGGCGCTTCTCCAGCCTGAGCTGTGCCTGCGCGGGCCGGGGGGCTCCGCGGCGGCGGCGGCGGCGGCGGCAGCGGGGGGGGGGAGAAAGAGCGGCGGCGGGCGGCGGCCGAGGTTGTCGAAGGGAGCGGCGGCGGCGGCTTCGGCGTTGGAGTTGCTGAGAGGGGTGCTGGCGGAGGCGACGGGGACGCCGGTGTCTCGGTTGGCTCCCGTCGGCAAGGTGAGGAGAGAGGGGGGCTATCAACGCGTGTGTCGTGGTTTGTCCTTCCGCTGGCCTTGGTTAGTGGGGGGTGGACGATGTCTGTCCTCGATGTGCTGCGGCTTATTATTCCGACTGATATCGCTTGCTTGACGACCCTACCGTTCCGCGTCGTACCGTACCCTACCGTACCCCCCTGATCTATTTCCCCGACCCCAAACGACTGTATGGCAAAACTCCGGACTGTGGCTGTCCTTCGTGTCTGCTGCTTTTGCCTTGCCTTGCCTCGCCTCCATCCGCAGGAGCTGGTGTCGATGTGCTACTCGTCCTGGGCCCCATTCCTGCGGTGCTCTGCCCTGCTCCTCGTCGCCTCTTGCTCTACCGACAACAGCAACGAAGGTTCCGACGCCAACAGGGGTTCCACATCCGGTGGTGGAGTTGAGGTACGTTGCAGTGTTGCCGTTGTCGTCGTCGTCGTCCTCGTCGTCGTTGCCGTTGTTGCTACGACAATATTGTGTTGCAAGCTGTATAGAGCACCTGCCAGGCATGTCACTTACGTGTCTGGTGGCTGGTTCGTTCCGGTGACAGTTTCGCAACACCCTTTGTGCATTCACGTGGTCGTGGACTATGTAACCCTTCTGCCCGCGTCCGAGGTATTTAGTTGGTGTCCATGCTTGGCCAATGACGCAAGCCTTGTCCATCGGCGGTTTGTTTTGTTTGTTTTTAGTGTGCCTTCGCTCGCCTTGTCGGACAACCGGCCTCCAACTTAAGATACTCTAGCTTCGAGATCGAAATGTTCATTTTTCCCGCACTCCTCTTCGCGGACAAATGATTGCCCACCCCCAACCCTCCAGGATGAGTGGCGACAGCGCCTTGCCTCGGCCTACGGCTCCTCCGCCCGCCTCTCCTTCACCACCACGGGCTACGACAGCAACGGCCACACCCGCAAGCGGAGAAACAACACCAAGCCTGCGGCGCCAGCAGCAGCAGCAGCAGCAGCAACGACAACACTTGCCGATGATGGGGATGGCAGCGAGATTGACGATGATGGCGACGACGAAGACGGCGGCGGCGTCGAGTGCCTTGCGGCCGTGCAGGAGCTGTGCTCGGCGCTGGGAGTCCCTTCCCCGCAGGCCGTTGTTTCCTCCAGCCTCGCGATGGGCATGGTTCGGGCCTGGGGAAGGCAGTACAAGGAGGCATTCGGGCCGGCTCAGCCTGAGGCGGGCGTCTGCCGCATCGGGTCAGAGGTACCACAAGAATTGGCGTGGTGACAGTGGTGGCGATGTTTTTTTTTTTTTCTTTCCCTGGTGTACTGGTGACTTAAGCTAAGCTTCGATTTCACGCGGTCTTCCGTTACAGGCTGGGGGTTCTTGCGAGAGCGAGAGCGAGAGAGGGGCAGAGAGAGAAGGAGAGAGAGAGGGAGACCGAGGAGGCCGAGAGAGGGGGAGGGGGGGGGGCAGAGAGAGCATTCTATGGGGGTTTGTTTTTGAGCATATCGCCTCGGGGTTTCAAGTGTAGTGAATGACGGCATGTTTACGGTGTGTCACGGGTGTTGCTACTAGTATCGCTGCGGTACATGGATGCGTGCGCCTTTGCTGTGCGTGTTCCGCACGTCCTGGCCTCGCAAAGTCCGCGTTGATGGACCAAATCGCTTGTGCTAATTGTTCCCCGACCCCCCCCCCAACCCCTTTATCATACCAGGGTATTGTTTTCCTCCAAACCTCCAAATCAATATCGCCCGTGATGCTTGGCTGGAGCTAACACGCTCCAACAATGAAAATTCCCCACGGCGACTGCCGACAACACCCACCACACTAACAATTCGCGTGCGCAGAGTCTGAACCCCTCATTGATGGAGGAATGCCTGCGGCAAGCTCCTTCTCGAACGGTACTGGCGGCCGATGCGGGAGGCGGGAGCAACTTTGGGGACGACGAGGACGGCGGCTGGGGGAACGGTGACGGGCTCGGCAGAATCGGAGGCGGCGGAGGCCTGGTAAGGAGGCCTGTAGAGTCGCTGCCGCTGCTGTTGCCGCTGTCGCTGCTGCTGCTGCAGCTGCTGGTGCTGCTGTTGCCGCTGTCGCTGGTGCTGGTGCTGGTGCTGTTGCTGCGTTGCTGTTGCTGTTGTGCTCCGTGTCGGTGTTGTTGTGTTAGTTGCTCGACATGGCGACTCGTGGAGTCGCGACTTTACCTAATCCCTTCCCATTTTTTTGTTTCAGAACGAATCTGGCATGGTAGGAGGAACCCCAGACGCCGACGGGGGTGATTCAATGTCAGCTCCGGGGGACACCCACGGCGACGGCGACGACGATGCCAACAACAACCCGGCCGCCGCTGCAGCAGCAGCAGCAGCAGCAGCAGCAGCGGCAGCAGACGGAGTGAATCCTGGCGCCGCGGGTGGGGGGGCAGCAGGCGGCGTCGCAGGTGGAGGGGAAGGAATGTTCGGCGTGAACATGAACCTGAACATGAATCTCGGGGCCGAGGTGCCGTTCGACGAGGGGGGCGGAGCCGCGGAGATGATGGGCTTCGATGTCCTAGAGATCGACGGCGGGGAGTGGCTGGGCTTCCCCCCGGGCGGCGGCGGGGACGCCGCGGCGATGAATGCCCTCGCTGTCGCCGCTGCCGCTGCCGGCGCCGGTGCCGCTGCTGTTGCCCCTGCGCTCCCCGTGGGGATGGCGTGGGGTGGCAACGTCGCGGGAGCGGGGGCAGGGGGAATGATGGAGGGCTCGGATGATGACAGTGAAGACGGGCAGGCGCTCGAGGACGTGGAGGATGCCGGCAACAATAATGTAAGTGTTGGGGCTGGGGTTGGTTGCGGAGTGGTGGGGGTCGCCTTGGTGGACAGGGCGTGAGGGGTTCATCGGCGCGGGAGCAAGTTTTACTCCGTCCGCCCGCCAGCAGGAAAGTGGGGGTGTGCAGATGGTTGTACACCGCTGTCGGGCACGAAGTTCTCAAGAGACCATGAATGCCACCTCTTCCTGTCGTAGTACTACATGTACGCCAGTAGCTCCGCGTCTGCGGCGGCGAATCCAGGTGCAAACGGGTGAGAGCACGCTGGGTTTAGGTTTAGGCTGGCGTCATGGCCGCACCTCGAACCAAGCAAGCTGTCGTCATGCGGGCGCACCTGGAATGAAGTGCGTCACGCCGCCGAGGAACCTTCACGGTTGGTCAAAGCTCTTGAAAGTGGTGGCACCAGTACCATTTTTTTTTGTGCGGTACAAAAGAACGTTCTGAAGTGCTGATTTTCTCTGGCCTTGCTTCTGTCGATGGGTGTTGTAGGGTGGAGGCTTTGGCGCCATGGAAGAAGACGGGCAGCAACAACAACAGAACGCCAATGAGTTCGTAGTACCCTGGCCCAACAACGTCAACGGCAACGACGGCGACCAGGGCGGCTGGGCCGAAGATTCGGACGAGGCGTGGCAAGGCGAGCCCCCGGGTGCTGGTGCTGGTGCTGGTGCTGGGGCTGGTGCCGATGCCGCGAACGTTGTGATGCCCCCCCATGGGGCGGCGGTACAGGCTCACGTACCGGCGGGACTGCAGGCCGTTGGCGGTGCCGGAGCCTTGGCTGCACAGGTCAGGCGACCCTTCGCCCTGTTACGTTTTGTCACACACCGTGCATCGAATGAGGAATGGTGTGCCAGGCTGGCACGTAATGCATACAGCACGCTCCACAACGCGCTCATCGCTGGACGCTCAGTCGTGTATGTCTCTGGCTGTCACCGGCTGGTCACGAAGGATCCGTGGCGGTTGTTGCCAGGCTTGTGTGTGTATGTGTCCTTATTCTTGGTGCTTCCTTCCTGCCGGTCCGAACAGCACATGCCCTCCGACGTGTAACTGCTGCAGCCCTTGGCGCTGCTGCTGCTGCTGCTGCTGCTGCCGTTGACCGCTGCTGTAGACCGCTGGTGTAGACCGTTTTGGTGGTCGGCTCGCCGGCGCGCTGTTGTACGTGTTCAAGGTACCCAGCAACGTCTTCCGCCCTAGTGTGGACTTTCGCCAGCCCTTTCGATTCGTCGATTGGCTCGCGGATCTGGTTGTGAAATGTGAATGTGGAAAGCGTATTGTGTGCGTGTTATATTTAGAAGGACCACACGCTAACGTCACCCGGCAGGTGGTGATGAAATAAGCCTTTACTTGAGAACCCGCCGCAAGTGAAGCTTGCCGCGTGGTCATGGAGTTGTTGGTATTTGACGATACCGCTACCATACCTCGTACACGGCCGGTCGCTGAGTTTGTTGGCACTATTGTCTCCTCTTCCCCTCTTGCTCTCCCCTTCTTGCTGACAGACGCACGTCTATTTGCGTTGTTGGCTTCCTTCCAGCTTAGGAACGAAGTACATTTTGTTTTTTGGCACTTTTTTGTTTATCTCAGCACGTTCTCCTTTCGGCCTCAGGTTAGGATTTTTTTTTCTTTTATCTTTTTTCTCAGCACGTTCTCCTTTACCTGCAGCAGGCGGGTTCTGCCCCCTCTGCCCAGCGGAGGCGCCATGGCAGGGGACGTGGCAATACCACTGACCGCTACACCTTTGCACTCACAAGGTTAGTCTCTTTGTCGTATACGAGGCTTGCTCTCACTCGATCAAGGATTGTGCATACTTACTCGCGAACCGACGGTGTAGTGTTGACGACACGAAATGTCCATGTCGAAGTGCCCAAACGGTACGGCGTGAAATGAATGATGCATGGTAGATCGTCGGAGGGCGACCACCTCACAACTTTCCGCCGCCCCGGCGTAAACAGTGAATATCCTCCCTCTGCGGTGAACGCGTCATCCCGAAACACGGCCACGAGTCATCTCCACCCCGTCGAATCATGATCACCCCCTCCCCCCCCCTCCCTTGCCTCGTGCTACCATCTATCATGCGTTGATTTTCTCATGCCCGTCTCAAGATGCTTTTCATGAGGGCCTGTGAAATACGTGTTTGTGTGTCCCGTGCCATGATTCGAACTTGTCTTGAGATGTACCCCCCACCCGGCAGATTGATCAGGTAGTTTTGTCCTTGTTATCTCCTTCGTATCTGCGTTGATCTCCCCCTGTCGATGAATCCCTCCCTCCCGCCCTCGTCCCCTGCATGTCTCCACCGGTGGCGGCTGCCTTCGTGGATGGCTGACTCTCGGCATGGCCTGGTGACGTTTCGGGCCTCGTGTGGCAACAGGGCGGGGGCTCCGCAGGTATGTAGGGCATCCTTTCGTGTCTCCTTGCATGTGGTCGCGCGACCAATCCCCGCTGTTGTTCGTGATGTTGGATACGTCCATTCGTTCACCATCGTTGGGATTTTATTCACTGTCTGTGGATTCAGTCATTCACTACTTGCAGCTGTTGCTGCTGTTCTCGCACAAGGGTCGCATCTCCTGTGAGCTGTTGCTACTCACATATGTAGTTTTTCCTCCGGGGTGAGAGAATCCTTGCCTAGATGGCGTCGCGGAAGCAAGCATCAACTTGCGATTTGTTTAACCCATGCTGCTGTCGTTTTTTTTTGTCACCTGTATCTATACGTATTTCAGCTCACTGGCTGATGTGCTTGCTTGCTGCCGGACCCCCTAGGGTTCATGTGTGTGAGTACCACAGAAGCAGTCGTGACGGATATCTGCTGACGTTTCACTTGTTTTGTTTGTGATGAGCTTTTCTGACAAAAAACGAATTAATTTCTTCAACAGGTAAGCGTGTCTTGTTTCTATTGCCACACTTACTTCACTCTCTTTGTTCGCAACGGCTCACTTTCTGACCTCAAACGTTCGTCTTTCTTATCGATGTTGTTACTCACGAGTAGGTGTTGATGCCGCACCTCGGCAGCCTTACGGGGGGACACACCACCCCAGACTTGACGGGGAAGCCTCTGAAGGGGGTGGTCTTCGACATCAGCCACCTCGGCGTCAGCTGCCAGGTGTGTGTGCAACGCAGGATGTGACTATCTACGGCAGTGCTTGTTTTTGCCGTTTATTCACGCGTGTTATTTTTTAACTTCATGCTGACCCCGGGCATGGCCCTGACTCCGCCAAGGATCAAAGACAACATGGGAATGGGTAGCACATTGTGGTTGTGTTTCTAGTGAAGGGAAGTTGTGCAATATGATGAAGTTTTGCCGCCCGCCAAAGCATCAGCGTGTCATGGTCAACTGCGCCCTGAGCTTGAGAAGCTGTTGTGCCCTAGTCTGTCCGTGTGTTTCCCTGATGTGTGATCTGTGTTTTGTTTCTCGTCTCGCTGTGAACAGGATAACCACGACCTGGTGGAGCTGCCCGAGAGCTACACCGAGCTGTACGGCCTGGCCAAGAGCCCGCACGCTTCGGCGGCGGCGGCGGAGGGGGCTGCGGCAGGGCCAGAGAGGGACCGCGCAGTGTGCCTTGTCTGTGGCCAGGTGCGGTGGGCTTCTCTTGGCTTGGTTTAAGGCGAACAATCTCCTGACCACGTTGGTCACCCGGGTTTGATCAATTCAACTGTAAGGTTTACGGCCGTCCCTATGTGTGCGTGTTCTGGTCTGGAGGAGGGGAGCATGTGTTCGTCATTTGCTTGACGAGTCGTGATGGGTAGCTGGTGTTGTTTTTGTCTTTCCTGCTTTGATATTCACGAATGAACAAATAAACGCATGTGGACGTGTGTTTGGTTGGTCCTTGGGTGCAGGTCCTCGTTGCCGGGGCGAAAGGGATGGGGCACGTGGGAGAGTGCACCCTGCACGCGAGGGAGTGCGGGGCCGGCGTGGGCGTCTTCTTCCTGGTGCAGAGGCGAGTGTAGTCGCCGTGGTTTGGTCTCGGACGCGAACGTACTGTAGCCACGTACTGAACGGTATTGTCATGGTGTCTTGTGCATCATCAGCTCTCGAGGTGTGGCTTTTCCTGCAGTTTTCGCGTGTGTTTGTGGCACATCAGACGAGCGATGGGGCCTCTTTATTGTATCTGCAGCTGGCCACCCTTTTTTTTATCCCTACTAGAAATAAATATCATGTCGCCATCCAGATGTCTCGGAAAACCATCCCGGAGCCTTGACGGAAGGTGGCGGAAATCCCTTGTTTTGGCAAAGCTACCCCGAAATCTTGACGGAAGGTGGCGGAAAATCCCTTGTTTTGGCAAAGCTTTGCTCGTCGTCTGGTTCGAGTTCGTGTGGCTTGGGACAAGAATGACTTCGTAGAAATCGAACGTCAGCAAGGCATGGCCATGTAGTTGATATTTGGAAAGCGCTACACGTTGCTCATGTTTCCAGTTCATTGTCTCTTGCAGCGGATATCTATGATGACGCAGACATCGGTTCTCATGCGTTCATGGAAATGGAGAACGTTGATACAGTAGACAGTCGCCGGACCCAAAGCCAGCAACAACACCGCCCCCACCACGGCACCGGGCACCGAATACACGAACAACAACCCACCACGGACCACGTGATTCTCTCTCTATGATAGGTGTGTGGTGTTGCTCATCCGAGACAGCAGGGGGGCCTACTACCCGTCCATCTACCTCGACGACCACGGAGAAGAGGACGCCCGTAAGTCGGTCACATGACGCCCAGTCCTGGAGGGCATTTCAAGCATGTGTTTGTCGTTCCACTCGCCCTCCCGCCGGTCGAGAAGGGCCCCGAGCTTGTTGCTGTCCTTTCGTTGATATCGTTCGTGTTTCTCACGCGGTAAATAGGTGTGTGCGTGTGCTTGGTTGTACGCGGCAATTAGGGTGTTAAAATCAAGAAACCCCTCCCCGTGACCGCGAAAATCACAAGTGCTTTCCCCCTCTCGGCAACGAAAACGCCACCCGTTATTTTTGAACTTGCGCTGAATCGTTTGTTGTCACCGTTGCCCGTGCGTGATACCAACTCGTCGTTGACTTGCGCCTATCTCTTGTTTTTGGTTGCCACAGAACTTCGACGCGGCCGCCCGTTGTTCCTGAACAAGCACCGGTATGACTCCCTGAAGCAGCTGTACCTCCGACACAAGGTAGCCCAGGAGGTTTCGGCTATCCGCGCCAGCTCGGATCGGGTCATCAGGGAGAACTACTACTAAAACAGGCAGAGGCCAGGATATGGGCGTGAGGGAGCAAACGACAAACACGGGAGGATGATGTCCCACCTTATGGAAAACGAGCAATTCTGACTCTACCGGCATTTGAGACGAAATGATGCGGAGTAGGGGAAGGTCTGTTGAAGGAGCTCGGGGAAGGCGTTCAACGAGGCGCTTGTTGCGTGGCAATGTTTATGTTCGATGTTTTTGGTTTCTTGTGTAGACTACTATATGCTGTTGCGTGGTTCTTCGTTTTTTCGCTCTCCTGCCCTCTAGCTTCGGCGTTTTTTTGTCTCAGGTTGCTTTTCCTGGTCATTTGCTGATCGGCTTCGGGGGGGTGGGGGCAATCAAGTATTGCAGTAGTTGCTCTGTTTGTGCTCCTTTCAGGTCAGTCCTTTGGTCCCGCACATAACAATCGAATCCGCAAAGGCAAATCATATGCCAAGCCGTACAGCGGGCGGGACCTATCTGCGTCATGGGCAAGTAAATGTGCGCTTCAATACCGGCCAACGTCCATGCGTGACTCATGGTGTTTCGTCCCGGGGTCTTCAAGTCGGGACTCACTCTAACTGGGCACGGCATACTGACCTACTTCGAACACCACTAGCTAGCCTACATCATGCGAAGGGTTGCCGACACATTTCTCGAGAATTTTCCAGTTCCCAAACAACGACAGTCGAACGTTGAAGATCCCCTGCGATTGATTGTGTTTGTTCCTAGACGACATGTACATGTACGACAGCAAACACGCTGTCCATGCACGTGCGTGTACGTTTGTACGAACAAGAAGAGTCGGTGAAAGGTTTCGTTGTGAGGTTGTGCCCGCTGCCATCAACTTCGACCGCTGATGGCTGCGCGCACACATACTCACTCGTGTTTGGACAGGACATCATTACGCCCGAATAACATCGAACTTTTCCCTCTCCACACTTTAACCTCCACTGGTACACTCTCCTATCCTGTTCCTTCTACTGTACCTTGTACTCACTCTCCTATCCATCTTCGGCTTGCGGGAGAAAAATACTAGAAATAAGGACAACGCATCCTGGAAAACAACGTAACACTTTTACTTTTCGCGCGTGGGCAGGGGTCATGGACGGCCAAATCAACTATTTGGTCGTGACTAAAGACGATTGGAACGATGGTGATCGTCTCCAACCGCCGATTGGAAAATCGGCACAGGGGCCGACAGTCCCAAAGGAGTGCCGGCACCACAACAAAAACCAAGCAAGATAACTCACTTGCAGAACTTTGTACGTGCCGTCCCTCTCGAACGACTCGAGCTGATAATGGCCCGCTCGGGAGGCGACGAAGTCAGCGAACGTTTTTTTGGACATGGACATCACACGCCGCCGTCCGTGCACGAAAAAGTTGGAGATTGAGGTATGCATGTATGTAACCAGTAAATAGCACAACTGCGTTGATTCAATCCTCCCAGTTAGCTGCAGAAAGATTAGGAGAAACAAAGATGCAGAGAGAGAGAGAAAAGATGCCCGCAGTTTTCTGATTGGTCAATTTTTCGAAAGAAAAAACTCCTTGCGTCCGACGATGACATTCCTACAAATTAGACTATAATAGACTATACCGATTAGATCTATTTGATGATGGAGATGTGGTTACAGTGGGTGGCCCGATATAGTGCCGGTTGAATAGTGCCGGTTGCCGGTATAGTGCCGGTGTTTTCGGCTCGCACACACCGGAATATCAAGTCTTTCTGTACTCTGAATAGTGCCGGTGCCCGGTATAGTGCCGTTTTGCTCTCTGAACACATACCGGCACTATAGAGGGCCCACTACTGTACTGAAGAAATAAGACCGGCGCTCCGTGCCGACAAGGGTTTGTAGCCAACAGTCAACAGTCAACACAATGGAACGCAACCATTGACCTCCCCCCCCGCCCCCTCTCCCCGGTGTTTGCCATCGGGGTTGGGTCTTCGCCGCTTGGCAGCGATGCTGTAAAACAAGCCGATCACTTCGTGAGCTCGGCAACCAGATTACCGTTTTTTTTTTTTGCGTTTGTTTTCTTTTTTGCGGTAACCATGAATGGCGGTCGAGTAGATTATTCTGTGCGGGGTCGAGAAGTCTCACGCCGCTCAAAGGGGATGATCGCACCACGTTGTGTTAAATTGGTCAAGCATCCTCGAGGCACTTACACAGTGCTTACAATTGTCTCTGGAAGTGAAAGCACCTGAGAATCAATCAAGTCATATGCAGCTCAGCTGTCATTCATACGCAGGGAAGTAAGAACAAGGACATCCTTAGTAGGATGCAGCTCACCCTTCATGCGACTCGCTGAATACCTCACGGCGCTTCGCGCTTGGTGATGTGAGAGCCTGGTCCGGTGAGAACACGGCGTGCACAGTTGGACATGTAGGAGCGAGAACATGCCCACAAGAGCGCTGCGAACCTCCTTTTTTGAGGGCAACATTAAATGTTGCCCTTTGAGGCACGCTTCAAGGACTCATGCAGCGGTGCGCGATTCAGAAGGGCAGGTGTAGCCCGGACGTCAAGGGCAACCCAGTTCTATGCATACCATTTGTTCTGCTGTCTCTGCTGTTGTTGTTAAAACTAACAACTGTTCCCCCGCCTTCTAGGGTTGCGAGGCCAATGGCCTAACAACTACGGCATGCACGACTACGAGTACTATGAGTCTTCCCCCCCCCCTGACGAAGGAAGTGAAGAGCTCCCCCTGGTGACGTCGAGGCTGTCCGCCAGCTGGTAGAGTAGGTCACAAGGAAGGCGTCACCATCGACGAGGCGGCGAACGGTGTCACCAAACAGGGCCAGCAAGAGAAGGTCTTCGCCTTCTTTCAGTGAGAGAAGTGTGCAAGCGCTTTGGTCTTGCGTCATGTGTGTGGTGTTGTATAGCCTCTACAATGATGGTACGTGGTGTCAGGCACCCATTAGTCTAGTCATTAATCCCCCCGAAAAGTGATGGACAATGAATACCATACGCCAGTCTTTTGGAGTGCTTCCTCCATGCTGGGGGCTCTCGGTGATATTAAAGTGCTGTTTGATAGTGGCGTTTTCACAAAGATGCCTTCCCTCCGCTTCTTTCATTTTTTCCGTGTAGCGCCCCACCCCCCCCCGCCCGCAAGTCTTGAAGATGGCTCTGGAAGATTGCTCGTGAGTTGTTTTTGGTGAATGCTTCCGCGAACGTTCAACAATGGCGGATTGTCCGTAATCCAACGTGAGATGGCACCACGGGCCATTCCTGTGCGTTCAGGGCTGGATTCTCACACGTACAATTAGAGCACTATCGGTTTTCAAATGTAGTGTTATACAGTCTCCCACATTACCGGCAGTTGTGAAAAACCTCCCATGGGGCACCCATGAGCAGCCCATGGGCCGCCCGTGGGCTGCCGATGGAGTGCCCCCGAAGTGCCCGCCGTGGGCACTTCAACCTAGAACTCGCCACTGGAATATTCACCTAGAACTTAGCTGTCGGCATATCAACCTATGGTGGCTCGGAGTGCCTCCATCTCCTTACGCAAGTACCTTGCCTAGGCAGCCGCCTCGTTGCGGTCCGTCTCCGACTTGGCCCGCTCCGTTACCTATGCGCCCGCTAGGGCGGTGGAAATCTTTTCCTTCTTCCGCACTGTCCTCGTGAGGTCCTCGACGGTGTTCTCGAGCGTCACAATTTCGGTCTCGAGCGAGTTCGAGCGCCTGCGGTGGTAAGCTGGGTCGACTTATAGGCCGACCCACCTTACTACCGAAGGCGCTCGAACGTGCTCAAGACCGAATCGTGACGCC